ATTCTTCTAACTCGTGATTTCTTTTTTTAAAGCTTAATTAACTTATTCTGGTCTTTTTTCTACGCTTTTGTAAAGTTCTCAGAGCTATTGTATATTCAACAAGTAAAATTTGTTAAAGTATAGAGAGGATGTGCAACAATATACCTGTGCTCTAGACATAATATTTATTAATAAAGAATTAAGTTTATCAAATTTATATTTTATTAGATTCACTTACTTAAGATTAATATGTTTAGAGGAAATAAAGTCATGAAAAATTAAGAAATGAATCTTGTGCGGAATTCAAATTCATGAAGGGCAGATTTAGGCTCTTCTTATTCTAAGAGTAACGCTGATTATCTATGAAGAAAGGTTAGAACGATCACATGTAAAGCGGTCATCACGCCGACAAATTACCAAGATCTCGTTGAAAAGTGGTTTCATCGACATCGACAAATTGCCAAGATGCGACGGCAAATATTTTGCGTCTTCGTTGCTTCGTAAAGACATCGTAAAAATTACTACGACCTCGTTGTAACTACTCGGAACAGTTTGCAACTTTTTTGCTGCGTCATGTGCTGTTTGGATCAGAGTCGAGGGCGCTTAGAGGTAGACAAAGAAAGGTAAAAGAAGAGGTTTCCTAAAGACCTGATGATTTAGGGAAGGGAATTTAACATCCAGACGAAAACAGCTTCTTTATCATTTTCCACTTACGCCGTCCCCTTTCTTTCTTAAAGGTACAGTAAAATTAAATTAAATTTTCATCTGTTTTTTACTGTGTTTACATTTTTTTTTATATTCACCAATTTCCATTGGTATTTGGTTTTAAACTCCATAAAGTACTGCACTAAAATTTTAAATAACTGTCATATGTGGTCGAGGAAAGTATGAATTCATTTTACTTCGATCCTTATGGGAGAATAATTTCTGTTTACGAATACTTCAGTTGACGAACAGTTTTCAGGAACAAATTAAATTCGTGAACTGAGGTTTCACTGTAATTTCATTTTTGAATTCATCATTTTCAAGAAATAATTGATTCTGACTGTAAAATTGTCGCAGCTTCAAATTTGTCATTAAATTTATTTAAACTTAGCACAATCCGACATCATTACTTAATTTTAAAATTAATTTCTCATACTTTTAATTTAATTTAAATTAATTTCTCTTAATTTTAAAATTATACCTCAATATTAAATTTCATAACTAATCATCACCGTATTAATAAATTCTCTTTAACTGCGCACGTTGGCAGCTATATACCATCCTTTTAAGATTAATTTCGCTTTCGTTCTAGAACTTAAGTATGGAAAATATTTAAAACCTACTTATACTCTAAGTTAGGCAATCCTTAATGAGTAGTTACTTAAATATTAGCCTCATTTCAAAAGTAGGATGTTCCCTTCTCTTCATTTAAGTAATTAAAGCAAAAACCACGAGCTCGTTTCTCTGTTATCAGCTGCATCAGACCATATATTTTAAGCGGTAACTTAGCAGGATCAGTTTAGAGTTGTTTATCACGAGGATCTTTAACTTATCTTAGTATTATCGTTGAAGCTGTGCAATCGATACTAGTACTACACACATTCAAACGTTTCACTCAAATCTCCTTTCAACCTTCTCAGATCGAAGGGGTTGTAAAAGCAACCTTACGGCAACATGGCAAGAGAACACCGTTTCGCAACATAATGTGCATTTTATTGAGAGATGCTTATGGTAATTTTTCATATTTTATTGGTGATTGCGTGTGTAGTGAAACTGCAGCAATTGCTCTTTAGGCTGTAGTTCGGTCCATTTCCCTGGCTGTAAAATGCATGTATATGTTTCCGGAAACACTGCAAGAGAGCTTTTTATTGCACTTCTCCTATCTTAACATGTGCTTTTATTTTAACTAGCATGCGTCATGAATTTGTAAATACACTCTCACATAAGCATATGGAAAATGTTTCTTTGAAAGGGTAATCATTAAATTAGATTTAGTCATAAGACAATTAGCTAGTTCTGTTACAATTCTAAGTGCCTCGAATAGCTTAATATGAGGATAAATATTAATATGACAGCTTAATTTTACGAATATCAATTTAATACTTTATAAAATAATATTTTGTTTTAAGATGTTGTTTTAAGTAATAGTTTATTCGTTTGACATGATTCTTGGGGACTTTACTCGCTCTCGTTAATCATGATAGTAGATTTCAGAAAAATTTCATTTTATAACTAACTAAATAAAACTTACACAGTTTAATTACTTTCATATAGCTATTCCAAACATTCAGGTGTTTGTAATGATTCGTTATTACTTGAGAGAACATGAATTACTGCTTAAAGGTTGCTAAATTCCACTTCACGTTTGTGCACCTTAAGCTTCTAAATAAGCTTAAGGAGATTCAATTTATATAAGTGAGATTCACCTTCTACAAAATATATCATTTATTATTACTTCATTTTGTTCAATTAGAATGAGAGAAAAATAGTACTTAGAGGAAGTATTATTGAAACAGCCAAAGCTCAATCTCAAATCATGAAATAATTAAACGTGTATTCTCTCATTTTCAGTGAAAGTTCACTTATTCAGGAAAGTCGAAATGTACAGTATTAATATGCGTAAGAGACGTATTCTTTCCAAGAAGTCTACGCTTACTTAAAGATACATTTCTGAAGCATGTGTATATACGGAATCATACATTTTCAATTACATAATTGTACAGACCTTGTAAAACCAGTCAGCATTTATGGTGGGACTCAGTAATGAATTTCAAGTTAAACTAAATTTAAATGCAAACTTAGCTCAATGCATCTGCAATTATATTTACTAAGCTTTTCAGGCCTGTAGTTGTGAGAAATTGCCTTCGCTAAGATTCGAACTACTATTGTTGCAGTTCTAGCTAGACCTATTAACCACTTACACTAAATCACACACGGTAGGAATGTGACAATTCCTTGCACTCTTTCTTAATTCAAATGCTACAAGGCACGAAAAACCCAGTCGGCCAAATGCATGTTGTGACGAAACACCGTCCATCAAATTTTAGTTCGGTCACGACTGTGCAAATGTCTGGAGCGTCACGCTCACTGTGCAGTATTACGTAGTATATATATACACTGTGCTCTATTACATAGTAGTATGTATAGGATTTGAAGGTCAAGGCCAGGAATGAGTATTTATAGCCTTAGTTACGTTGTTCGTGCTATGAATCTTCGAAATCCGAGAAAGAATCCATTAGTCAATAAGCTTTCAATTAATTCTAAAAGAACCGCACGATAAACTCCACAGGTAAAAAGCAAGATCCAAACTTTTCTATTCTTTTAAATAAAGTGGTCCTGCTACATCAACACCTGTCACCTCAAATGCATAAGCATCTTTGACTCGATCTTCTGGGAGAGCACAAGACATAGTATCAGGAGCTTTCGCCGAGTGTTTCTTGCATCGAACGCACTTCGATATGACCCTTTGTACTGTTTTTCTTCCTTTTATTATCCAAAATTTTTGACGAATATTGCTCAAAAGAACTTGAGTACCAGCATGTAAAAGTTGTAAATGGTAATCTTGTATCATTCTTTCTACTAATTCATGTTTGGATGGAAGTACAATGGGGCACCGGAAGTTTTCATCGTCATGTCTTCTTAAAATCTTCGTCTTCAACCTTACAATTCCTTCTCCAACTCAATGTCCCTTCAACTGTTCTTCATTAGAGAATGCTTCTCGTTGAACGATCTTCAATAATTTCCTCTCCTACAATTATTTATGAATCTTAGAATCCAAGACATCATTCTCACAATTTTAAAGTAACTTGAAAAGAAATCAGATACCATTTTTCAGCGGTGATATTAGCCAAAGTCAAAATAATGTTCTTTCGCTTTTCTTTCATAATTTTTTCTTTGTTAGTAATCACTTCACTAGTTGGCCATTCTTCATCGTTGTTCCATTCTGGCCCTTGCTACCAGCGAGATTTCACAAATCTCTTAATTGAACACCCTCGTGATGGTATATCTGAAGGATTCAAATTTCCTGGAATGTGACGCCATTCAGATTCCGATGACAATTTTGGTATCTCTTTTACTCTATTTGCGACAAATGGCGCCCAATGGTCATCTCTTTGCATCCAAGAAAGAGCAGAACTCGAATCTGTCCAATAGTTCCTAGGAACGTTGTCTAATTTCAGTGTTTGTAAAGCAAGAGCTGCGAGTCTCTCTCCTATACAGCGGGCTAATAATTCTAGACGATTTATGGTCATTTTTCTTACTGGACTCACTCTACGTTTAGCTAGAAGAAAATACCCCGATACATAAATAAATTTTCATAAATAAATTACACATTCATAGGCTTGTTTACTTGCGTTACAGAACGTATGAAGACTAAGACTTTCATTTCCATTTATATCTAAAGCCCTTGGAATTCTAATACTGGATAAAAGTGGCAAATCATCAATCCAGGAATAGAACTCTTTTCCCAAGTCTTCGGGTATATTTATATCTCATCCAATTTTTAACAACCTTGTCTTTTGTATGAGCAGTTTAGGTGTTAGCGTTATCGGGCAGAGAAAACCCATGGGGTCGAAAATGCGATGCACCGCAGACATATATTTCTTCTAGTAAGATTTACTGGTTTGTCAGTAGCAGTCTTCACCTCACAGGAAAAGCTATCATCTTTCTTATCCCACAAAATTCCCAACACAGGAGTAGATTCTATACTGTCTTCAGATTTCAAAAAAAAAAGTCTGCTCCCACCCTCTCAGATCGAATAATGCAGAATCTAATATTTGTTTCGATTCTTCGATGAACCGCGTGTCTCCTCATCAGGAACAAATGTTATGCAATTATCTACGTAGAATGATTCTTTTAAATTTTGCGTTGTTTCAGGATATTTAGACGAATTTAGATCAATGTGATGGCTTAATACAGCAGCCAATAGAAAACGACTGCAATTCAATCCAAAAACAACGCTTTTATGTCTAAAAACTCTAAGTTCCTCCTTGTCAAAGACTTTCCACCATAAAAATCGTAAGAAACCTCAATCACTGTTATTCACTGACATTTGCAAAAAAGGCCTTTCTTATGTTTGAAATAACTCCTGTTCTATTCTTGCGAAATCTTAAAATTATAGAAATAATTTGTTCCAACAAATTTGAAACCTTTTCTAGGCAATCATTAAGTGAGCGCAAATTTTTGTCTTTACAGGAAGCATCAAATACCGGTCGCAGTTTCGTGGTCGAAGTTTCTTTGAATACCCCTTTAAGTGGTAGATAAAGACACCGATTATTCATTTCGTGTTCAGAGACTTCTTCTATAATTCCATCATTTAACCAATCTGTGAAAACATTTTCGTAATCCTCGAATTTGCCCTTTTTTATCAACTGGTGTGTCGTACTGTTTAAACGCTGTCTAGCAATATCGAAATTTTGACTTAAACAGTCCTTTTCTATCACCCAAGGCAAATGAACTTCATATCTTCCCTCTTCAAAGGTAACAGTTTTGTTAAAATGATTCAATGTGGTAATTTCCATTTCCTTTCTGCATTTTGTTTCAACAGGGTCTCGAATACCCAATAAATCTAATTTCCGCAAATTTTCAATCTTCGATGAGTGAATTAATAAAGAAGTCACTGCGACGGCATGAGTCCCATTTTCGCTAGTTTCAATATGATCAAACAGTTTTCCCATTAAAATCCAACTCATTTTGGTTTCCATTGTAACTAATGTTGAGTTCAAGCGTTCAATTTTTTCCTTTACTAATTTCCAATAATTATCAGCTCCAATGAGTAAAGATACGTTGTTGTTATCTAAAGATTCGTGATCAACATCCGCTAAAATTATTCCCCTATCTTTTAACAAATCCTTAATATTTTTCGGAGGATAGTCTAGGTCAGCATTTGATATCTTATCAGTTTCTAAAACCTCAATAATTAATTCCTGGTTATCAAAAAATTTTTTTATTTTTATTTCTACCCGCGCGCAGTTCTGTTTAGTAGACACTTAAGATCCGAAAGTGTGAATCATTATTTCCTCTTTTCCCACGACTTTTAATCCCAGTTGGTTAGGCAGACGTTTGTGAATATACGACCATTGACTAGCGCTGTCAAATAAACAACGAACTAATTTATTGCGTTACCTACTTTTAAGTTCTACTGTTGCCGTCTGTAAAAATAATTTTATTCTTACCGATGCTAATATGATTGCACCCTGAATTTTCTACACCTCGTGATTGCGATGCTTCGGGTTTTTTCTCATTTTTGTAACAAAGAGTTGCATTATGTTTTTTGTGGCAGTATACACAAGAGCTTTTCTCAGAGCAATCTGCCAATCTATGAACTTAAGCCAGACAAATATAACATCTCCCTTGTAATCTTAGCACATTTCCTTTCTCATTTACACTCATATTTCACTTTTCACTATTATGTGTGTTTTTTTTTTGCAAAAAAATACAATTTTTTTCTTACACGGGAGCTAATAATTCTGCCGCCGACGAGGGGTTAACTTCAGAGTTAAACTTATTGTTTGCGTATTTAAAATTACTTTTGTGTTTATCGAAGTGTTTATTCTTTCCGTTCAATGGAACGAATTTCGGTTCCGGTTTGTCTACTGCGTACACAACAACTGCGTTCACGGCGTTCAATTTCTTTTTTCAAAAAAGCAATTAAACCTGTAACATCAGATTCCGCTTTTTGGATCACGCTTTCGGTGATATTCGAGAACCAAATCATGAGGCAATAATTTCAATAATATCGGATTTAACAACTGACCGTACGAACCTGAAACTACTCCTAAATTACTTAAGCTTCGAATGTTTATTTCAAAAGCGTCGTGTAAATCATCTTAGTGCATTTAAGTTAGAAGAATTTTTAACTGGTTCTATGTCCAAAAGATTATTCATATGTGATTTTATAATTTTCTCTGGTTTTCTAAAGCGTTCTTTTAAAAGTTCTAAGCACATATCTTAATTGTGTTCGGTTAACTGAAGTCCTTCAATATGCTTGTCTAGCAATAATGATTTCAAGTATACGAATTTTTCAATCTTGGTTAACACTTTTTTCTGATCAATTCAGCTTGAAAACTGTTAAAAAATTCTAACCATTTTCCTGCATCTCCTGAAAATTTTGGAATATTTAACTTTGGCGATTTCATAGCCGATGACTATACATTCATTTCAGAAACAGATGTGTTCAAAGAATTTGCACGTGATGCATTTTTCACAGAGACAAACTTTCATTACATTTATACAATCTTATTTTAATTCTAAACTTTGCAGACATAATTTGTTCATTGTATTTATCACTTCCAGAAATATCTTTTTCAAATTCTTCAGCATCTTTTAACTGAGTTTCGATGTGTGAATTCAACATTTTCAACGTGGTTTCTCTTTCGAGAATCGTTTCATTCATCTCCTGCAATTCCTCAATGTTTGTGTTTTCGATATTTTCTGATAACAAAGATTCTATTTTTGTAATTAATTTCGTAACGCTACTGCGTTCATTCGTGCGTTTCTGCTTCAGTTTGTCTAAAGCTTCCATGTTTAAAATTGATTAATCACAATGTTTAATCTCAGTTTTTTTGAAATTTTGAAAGAAGTAGAATTGCTTACCTGTTTACAGGTAATCCATCTGCTAATCTTCGAAATTCTAATCCAAAAGTCCCTTGGTGAAGGCACCACTAAATATATACCATTCTAATCCATAGCTTCTATATGGGAGAGCGCTTTCGGCATGTATATTCGATTCAAATTGCATCTTCAATTAAGTCTTAATGACTTTTTATTTTCACACAGCTTTATAATTACAGTATTTACATGGTAGTTGATAATTACTTTAAGACAGTACATTTTAGTTGGTTTCGAAATGAGAAGTTCATCTTTACGCTCCTCCGAAGGGTTCGAATCTAATCTCGTTCCCAGCTCTCAGTTAGAGAAAAAGAAAGAATGCCCGCCATCTAGTGGCAAGAATGGGACACTTTGTGTAGTGTACATATTTCACGTATTTTCTATACCATTAACATAGAATACTCCACATTACCTTATGCTTGATGTAGCAGCGTTAATCATCACTTCGTCTCTTCGCTTCGCTTATTTCGCATCAGTCATCGCTTAAATTAAAGCAGTTCTTGCTGAAATTATTTAATTTTGTGTAATTCTCTATCTTCGATACTACTAATATTAGCATGTTGGTAAAAATAAGACTCTTTTCGGTAAATTTATAGCAATTTCCGTAGATAAAAGTAGATGCTGTAAAAAAATTTTGCTTACTTTTTCTTATTTTAAGCTCTTCTATAGCAGAGCATAAGTCTAACTATCATAAAAAATTATGGGTAATACACTGAACAAAAGAATGAAAAAATTTGAATTGCGGCAGGAAGCTACAACCCACGTCGACAGGAAGACAAAAACAAAGTTTTTTCCCTCCGCTCACAGCTGCCAGAGACAGAGTTCTGTTCAGAAAACAAAATCCACCTCATTAATTTCAACTACTCCTTCCCAAATGATCGTTTTTTCTTCATTGACTATATACCATTCTTCTATCAATCTTGAAATATGAGACAGAGGACGTAGCCAGTTGTGAAACCTAAGTATTATAGAGACAGAATTAGGTTGAATTGTGCTTCCTGTTATCGTCAACATTGTATGCTTCAACGTAAATTTAAACTAGCAGTGCTTGTGGTAAAGCATCCAAATGCTACTTCCCCAATTTATTTACTCAGCATGCAAAAGAAATTTACCCGAAGAAATTACAGCATTGCATATGAGACTTTTCTTGATTGTACGTTTTAGGAAAAAATAAAAATTTTACGTTTTAGAAAAAAGTATGAATATTGAATAAGAGTTACTAATTTTTATTAATTTAAATACATCAGTGTTAAATAGTATGTATTTATCAGTAGTTATATACATACTATTTAACGACGTCTATCAAAAATTTCTTTCTAATGCACCAATATAACCACTTAGACTTGAGATCCGAATTGAGTACCGTCTTGTTCTATGGGCAAAGTGATCTTTCCCGTTCATGTATTCCGAATTGACAATCTTCTTGGATATATTTTGCTACATAGTGATATTCGAATCCTCGACCCTGAGGTTGATAGCTGTTAACATGAGCACGATTTAATTTCGGATACTGGCTCGCTGCACTTCTCACAGTGTATGCATAGGTATCATAAAACGCAAAAGGAATGAGTCTGCTTTTAACTATGCGAAAGACAATGAAAACGGTTGAAATCGTGGGTTACTTTTAATTCGTGTGTTTCTATTACAAACGGAAAAACTGAAGTGATAGATATTGGAAAAGCTATAAATAAATGCATTTCTTGTGATGCGCGTCCTGTAGTTGGTGGTCTTCTATTTGAAGAATTTTTGTAAATATCAAACATTATTTCTCTTGAAAGCGTTTTTAAAATTAACCACCAGTTATTTGGACATGGAAATTCACGAGGAAGAATTATTTTAATGGGAGAAGATCTCTCAACAAGACGTATTAGAAAGGTATTCTGGACTTTTCATTTGACGTAAAAAAATATTTTTAGCATGTTTTAACTTGGAACTGCAAAATTTTCCTAAACTTTAAAGTCAAAAAGATTTTAAATAAATTTAGGGCTTCCTTGTTACTTAGTAAAAAGTTTTTTGTATTGCACCCAAATTAAGTGGCTTATACATTACATCAGATTACAGTTTTCCACATTTAAATCAAAAAAGTTGTAAGTAAACGACGACATTTTGTCCCAATTTCCATAACAGTGGGAAGAGTAGTTCAATTCCCAGGGTTCTGTAAATTTCTTAAATAATTAAATTTTAAATACCAATAAATATTTCCGAATATAAGCCATGGAGTAAGAACGAGGCCGAGGAGTGAAATATGTAAAATTAAGGAAAGGTGATAAAGATTAAGGTAAACCAGATTAAAAAATCTCCCTGTGAATTCTGCTCTATATCTCCAAAGTTTGAATAATCGCGAATCCAACTTAACTAGAGCTATCAGATGACCTGAAGCTTTGTGTCAAATGCTCATCCATTTTACAAAATAGTTCAAGAAATGATGCATCTTTTAATGGGTGGAACAGAAAATGACATTATCTATAAGGCGGATGACAGTGTTGTTAATCGTAAAACGGAGAATGACATCATTCACCAGATTTTGTTTGCAGGAGAAAATGATTTCCGAGAATTGCTAGAAAATTCCAAGTATGATACTTACGTTGAAATATTTGATCATTGTGTTATAAGGTATTTCTCCTGCCTTCCTAGCATGCCTTTGTGGTGTGGTGGTCTGCACACTGGGTGCGTATTCCAGAAGTCCGTGATTCGATTCCCGAATTTAATTATTTAAGAAATTTACAGAACCCTGGGAATTGAACTACTCTTCCCACTGTTATGGAAATTGGGACAAAATGTCGTCGTTTACTTACAACTTTTTTGATTTAAATGTGGAAAACTGTAATCTGATGTAATGTATAAGCCACTTAATTTGGGTGCAACACAAAAAACTTTTTACTAAGTAACAAGGGCTCATTTTTCAAGTCTCCTGCTTCCAATCAATAACCTGATGTCTCTACAGTGTATTAGGATCAAATAAAATGAAAATAATATTTTTCGATTCATTTCAACTCTTTTAATTATTAATATTTTTTAGTTTTGGTTACCAAATTATATTTAGGTAACTTTGAATTTGTACATGAGCTAAATCCCGAAATTGAGTAACGAAATATTTGCTAAAACGTTTCGGTTTATAGAAAGGGGTGGTCGATAAAAGATAGGGTTCTGTTTTTGCAAAACATTAGATTAATTCTGGTCCTCGGAGATATTTGTATTTTTTTACTTTGTCATTTTCATTTTGGCCAAACACCAAAGTCTGAAGAAAATTAACTGCGATTAATTTAAATATGACAGTTCATCTTTTGCGAAATGTGAATTCACTCTGTTATCTAAGTTTGTGTGTACATTTAATAACTTTCTTGCTATTTCCGCTGCCTTACCCGTTTAACAAATAATGTCTGTGGAGACAGATATCAGATTGCATCGCACTTAATGCTCTCTATGCAATCATATAAGGGAAGAAGAGGATGCAAAATAGATATTTGTATTTGAATACAAATTTAGCATTGTTATTCGCAATTAACTTTTTCAAATAATTTCGTCCGGACAAAATCAAAATGATTAATTAAATAACCACAAATATCTTCCGTGGGTGAGAATTACCTCTATTTTTACAAAACGGAACCCTATCATGTATCGACCGCTTCTTATTCAACAAGTTAGTGAACACAGTCAGGTAAGAACCACATCGTTTCAATCATTACAGCCGGGAGCCATACATCTCAACTCCGTTCTGCATTCAGGTCAGGCGCGAGACTTCGCTTTCCGTGAATGGAGACGAGGATATTTATGACGTCATTAGTGAGAGTATTTTCGCCCCGCCCCCGCTGAACAGCAATAAAAATAGTGACCAACAGCTTTTATCTCTCCTCCTAGCTGGCCAATAATAGAGGGCTTCAGGCATTTATAGCGAATAAATTTGATGAAGTATCTTCCGAGTCAGCACGATTGGATAGTAAAGGTCTCAGTGGTCACTTTTTCTTTCTATGACCGATCTGGTTTCTTAAAATGATGATCAGTAAAGGGGTTAACAATGCCGACGTAAAGACTCTTGTGCCCCCCCCTTTGGATTCTTTTGCTTTTATGACAGCATTTTTGCTGACCAACATAGCTGTACACAGCCCATTATCGCTGAATTTCTTCAGGAACGAGATTTTCTTTGTCTTAAGAGAGTATTATTTATAGTACGAACATTCAACTTTTCTCAAGCGACATCTTGACAAAAGTCTTTCTATCTCTTATGTTCTGTTCTTAAACTACGTGGAATTTTGTAAGGAACTATGTTTCATAATCAGCTTCATCCTAAGGCTGTTGATCTTTCAAAATAGAAATCGCTTTTAGGAATTACTTTATTAGGAACAAGAATAAGAAACATTTATTTTACATTAAAATATATCTGCACATATGCAGCAATATAGGACGGGTATCTAAACAGATTTTCAAGAAAACTGCCAGTATTCAACCCGGCGAAAATCGCCCCAAGAAAAGTTACTAGAGTGGGCGAGTGGGGTATCACATACACCAGTATTTAAAATACGATAAAAATAGTTTTATTTTGTTTTAAAGCTGTTTTTCTTGTTTTCGTGTATTATAAATGCGTGAATAATAATTGGGTTTCAAAAAATTAATTTCCAAAATAATCTTACACTAAAAAATAAGATAAAAGAAAATAATAAAAAAATAAACATCAAGCCTCTAAGTTTCATAGCATCTCTAATACACAATGCTTATTTTATGTCTTTACACTTTGAACGAAATACATTC